AGAGCTATGGCTGAACTAGTTAAACAGGGCAAAGTTAAATATTTAGGACTTTCCGAATGCTCAGCTAATACGCTTCGACGCGCTTATAAGATTCATCCAATCGCTGCTGTTCAGGTATGCAATTTTACTAAATAATTTGTTATAAGCTAGTAATGTATGTTATATTGTGCCCTTTAATAATACATAGATGGAATATAGTCCATGGTCTCTTGACATTGAGACAAATGGACTTAAAGAAGCTTGCGAAGAACTTGGTGTTACAATTGTCGCGTATAGTCCATTAGGACGTGGTTTTTTATCGGTATGCCTTTTTTTTTGTTTTTTTATGAAAAAACATTACATAATACAAATGGTAGTTGATATTACTAATTTCATTATTAATTACAAATATATAGGGAAGATATAGATCCGAAGAAGATTTTGAGCCTGGCGACTCTCGCAGAGCAAATCCTCGTTATCCTCGTTTTACAGGAGAAAATTTTGTAAAAAATTTAGAACTAGTAAAAGAGATTGAAAAGTTGGCCAAAAAGAAAGGTGTTACTTCCAGTCAACTTTGTTTGTCATGGGTTTTAGCTCAGGTATATAACGATCCTAAATTCATTATATAAAATTAAATTAAATTAGTTCATAATCAAGTATTCTAATTTCTGTTAAATTAGGGTGAAAATATTGTTGCAATTCCCGGTACTAAAAAAATTAAATATTTGGAGGAAAATTTTCAAGCCGCTAATATTAATTTAACCTCTGAGGAGTTGGCCGAAATTCGAAAAATTATTAACTCTATTGGAGTAGCCGGAAGTCGATATAGTGAAGCAAATGCAAAGGTAAAGTATATTTTGGAAAATACACATTCCGGATATTCCACTTTACACAGCAGTCTGAAATATTAATTCCATAAACAACATGTTTCAAATTCACCGGTATTGGTAAGCCCTATCCTGTAAAGTGAAATATCCGAAAACTGAGATTTCGTTCTTGTTTTGCTGTGCTAATTTATTTTGAATGATAAAATTTAACATGTGTGCGTCCACATCTCTATTTATTAGCATTTGGATGTATAAATATATTATATGAAATTTTAAAGAGTTCCCTGTTCTATCTGTAAGTGTAATTTTTTCCAAATTTTGAACTTTATAAATTTATGAAAGGCCTAAACTAGTATTGTTAGTTGTTTTATATAAAATATTTTAGCTTTCGAAACTTAGTATATATTAATTAATCAAAATTTTAAATTATAATTGAATAACATTATTATATACCAATATATATATATATATTTGTTCTTTATAATTATATTGCATGATTACCATTTGTAAAAAAATAAAAATAAAAAAATTAATAATGAATTTATAAAAAATGTTCTTTAGAGACTCTTCAACATTTTTGAAAATGATTTTTAGATTGTATTCAGTACTTTTTTTACCTTAATACTAACGCTAACTCCAATTAATGAGAGTCATCGGCTAAACATATATGTATATATATTATATACAATACGTATAAGTTATAAACCTGCCAAAGGCAGGAAACTTTAGCTACACAAAAAATTACTAAAAACTGGGTGTTCCTTTAACTGTACGTATAGCAATAGGGATCGACTGCAAGATCTAATCAGGAGTATGGTACGTATATATCGATAATCATACATTAATAGGGAATGTTTAGAAAGTTACTGCGTATTGCAAACTCCAGAAATGCAAAAAATGAAATGCAAGAGTACCAGAAATAAGGGTCTCAAGCACCAGTAAAGAATGATGAAACTGTAGTTTTAACTGTAATAAGTAATATTTCTTTCTCTGTAATCTTTAGCATTAGCGTTATAACTAATTTCACACGTTTAGATTAGATCTTTTTTTTAGGTTTGTGATTACACAGCCGTAACCTAAAATTTCTATATAATGACAATGATAAAGATGGTGTTAATTTAATTTTCCAGCACCAATTCAATTATTAATTTTTTTTTTAACTCGGTCAAAATGTCTGTTCTCCGTGAACTTGGTAAAACGGGTGTTAAGATTCCAGCTATTGGACTTGGATGTATGGTACGTAATTAAAATCACAGCAGCTGATGTAGAAATTTTATTATAAAAAACATTACGGCGTGTTTATGAAATGAAGCTCACAAAATCTAAATATTACCGTTACTAAATTATATATTAACCTTAATCAATCAATGTTATATCCTGAAAAATTTACCTATATCGATAATGTGTCGAAATTTTCTCATTTTACGTAGGATATTATTTCATAAATACACTGTAAAAATACAGGAATGTGTTGATAAAAAAAGTATACGTATTTATGTGAATTTTGTTAGTGGAGATGGAAAATTCCAGTACAGCAAATTTCAGCATATGCTACTGCATTTATTACGTATACGCATGTAAATAACTAAATACTGTATATAGATTAATTTTCTTTATTTAATAACGTTAAGGGAATGAGTGAATTTTACGGACCAACCGATGAAGAGGGAAGTTTAAAAGTATTAAATCGTGCGATTGATATAAAATGCACCTTTTGGGATACCGCAGTAAGCATAAGTTTTAACAGCGCTACTAGTTATTTGCATTAAAAATTTCACTCTACATGAAAACGAATATTTAACGAATATTCTGATAATGATAATGTAAGATGAAATTTTTTAATGTGAATACTGGGTAATATGGTATACAATTATGTCATGTGGTACTATAATTTACTTTCTCGCGAATCATCAAGGACATTTATGGATGTGGAAAAAATGAGATATTACTTTCAAAGGTTCTTAAAGACCAACGTAATGAAGTTTTTCTTTGCACAAAATTTGGTAATGTTCGCGGAGAAAATGGGGAATTTTTAGGAATTAATGGGACGCCAGAATATGTTCACGAAGCGTGCGAAAAAAGTTTACAAAGGTTAGGTGTTGATTGTATTGATCTCTATTATCAACATCGTGTCGATAAGAACGTGTAAATAGATTTTATATTAATATTGATTTACAATAATAATAATAATAATAATACTAATAATAATTAATAATAATAATAATAATAATAATAATAATAATAATAATAATAATAATAATAATAATAATAATAATAATAAT